GCAGTCTCAAAAGCTCTAGCTCCGGACAGTGTATGCTCTCTAGTCAGATAGAAACGAGCCAGGAAGTGTTTATTGCCACTCCAAATTTGTTGTGTAATAGGGGCAGCTACTAAACAACAAGCAATTTATACGGGTTCTGGCATACAGCACTTGACACATTTTGCTCCTGGTGAACAGTGCCATGCATGCTGGGAGTCTGTGTATCTCATTACTGACAATCCTAAACAGCTACATTCTATAGCTGATAAATAATAGCTTGTTGCAATTAAAACACAGCTGTATCAATAATCAGGTTCTGTCTCTTCTCCATCATCCCTGGCCGTACCCTTTTAGACACAGAGTTACAGACCTACAAACAGGCTCGGTTCTACTCCTGTATCATCTAGCTACGCCCATGCACCTTTACATACATACATACGTATTTTTCACCTCTCTCTCTTCCCCATACATGCATGTATACTTTTACACACACACAAACGTACATACAAAAATCTATCATGTGTGTTCAGAAACATTTCACAACCCTTAAAGCAGGCCAGTGCTTCCTGCACCTGCTGTATATACATGCGCAATGTAAAAAGCACAGAGACTTAGAGAGAAAGAGACACGCATTTACATGTTGGTATAACGATATACACCTACACTATACAGCTACACCATCCCATCATGCTGCCATAGGCAAATGCAGAGTGCTGGCTAAATGTATGTTTACTGCAGGGCAGGCCCAACCTATAGGCATGGTACGTATGTACATACTGCTGGATGCATGTACCCCATCACTCCCCGAAATAAACACTGCTGACACATGCACAGCCTGTAGATACCTCGCTGCCAAACAGCTCCTGAATCACCCAGCCCATCTTTAGCTCACAGATAGCGTTTTATGTGCATGCCAAGTTTGTGTTTGTTTAGGTATTGCACTCCCCCACGGCCCCACCTCGCCTGCCCTCCCCATCACGCTGTGCTGTTCTTTGGGATGGAGAACAAACAGTGCTGGCGGGACTGAAACAGTATCAGCAGCGGGCAGGTGAAGGCTCGCCTGTTGCTAGGGCATCCGTGTAGGCTGGGTGTCATATATCATTGTCCTGCTTTGTCTAGCCCCTGCTATCACCTGAAACACCTAAAGTTGAGTAAATAACAGCCACAGCGAATCTACTGACATGTGTAAATGAGACCTAGGTAAGTACTGGCTGCGGCGTGTTGACACTCATTACCCTGGTTACCACAAACAAGCCAGCATTTGGGTACAAATTCTTCATGCTGAGAAGTTTGGTTCTGGTTATTGTGGCTGTTTCCCTGCAATGTGAGAGAACATCACCCAGGAGCGTTATTCTGAACCTGGTTTTGCTTCAGGCTTTGTTTCAACAGGGAGCAATAGGGAAGACTGCGTCTGGGATGCTGTTAAGCCAGAACACAGTTGTAAGTTAAGTGAATCCCAGGCAGTTGGGGATGGAGCTCTGCTGGAGCTATCTTTAGGGATTCCCCCCAGTTCAGAGCCCAGGATTTCAGCTCTAGATACCTCCCTGAGAACACATTCTATTTTCTGGTGGTGTGTGGTTGTTTTACCAGCTTTACACTAGGGACACTTAGATTTAGTAACTACTGTAGTGCTGCTAATAGTTTTGGCAAGTGGGCAAGCCACAGTCTGAGGCTGTGCCACATCTCGGCTGTTTCCTTCGGCTGTGCTCTGCTGGGAGGCTGGCACAGACACAGCGCTGTATCCCCTGCTCCTTGCAGCTGGCTGCCGAGAATGGTTTAGGAGAAGGCAGTAGTTTATTGAATGCTCCTCTCCATACCTCCATGCCCAGTTATTTGCCCTTTGGCTTTCAATATGCTGCACAAGCAAGGGCCAAAATAAAACACAAGTTTCATTTGAAGCTGCTGGGAATCAGGCAAAGCAGCAACTTCCTTGATACAGAAAGACATTCACACAAGGCACTCATCAGAACGGGCATTTCCCCTATGCTTTTTTTAACTCCTAAAAGCACCCGTAAACTCCACCCAGCACAAGCAGTAGGCCCAAAAGACTACAAAGCACAAAAAAACCACCCTAAACAAAAAGGCCTTGACAATTAGATAAAAAGGAAAAACAAAGGAGAAGCTGTATCATCAGACAAATACATATATATATATAAAATCCTCTATATTACAGTTTCTATCCATTTAAATTAATTCTATTTGAGAAAGCATGCTTCAACTAAGGAAGATCAGGAACTGCTTTCTGTTTTGTTCCATTTCTTGTTTAGTGATTTAATGACCAAGTACATCTTCAGCACAGCTCGCAGGCTCTAACTCATGCCACTCTTAGCCCGGACATGGGACAGACCACAGGGGACAGGTGATGGGGAAAGAGAATAAAACTCACCTAGTCTGCCACACTCTTCTCGCTTGGTAAAATACTTGAAGCCATTGGCTGCCCTCCTCTCTGCCTTCTCATGTTTTTTCACATGCCAGGGCAGCTTGGTGGTGATGTTAGTCACAAAGTAGCAGCCAGGACGAAGACAGTGGTAATGCCCTCGCATCCTGAATTCACAGTGCTAGAGAGGAAACAGGCAGGTTGCTTTAAGCGTATCTAAAACAAATGCACTCTCATCTGCCTGCTACTAATGCTGTCCCTCTGAGACATGAGACGAGAGCCCTGAACTGATACGCTAGGTCACATCCATTTCCTCTTCCACAAGCTGCAATGCAACCTTGTTCCCTGCCGTGTATTTTGTATTGCCATCATGCATTGCACTATTCTCTGTTGAAATATCCCAAACCTAACTCGTGGCTTTCCCTGGTATTCATCGTAGGTTTTTACTGTATTTCATCTTATGTCTCTTAGACCATTCTAGTTGTCTTGCCTGCTTCACCCAAGTCACAGAAACTTTAATAAAAGCACTGCAATTTTCAATCTGATGGAAACCAGACATTTTGCTAGACCACGTAATTCAGACCCTTCCATGGCTCTGTAGTTAGACCAGGAATGAAACACCCAGCCTCACTTCCTAGTGGGTAGCCTGCTTGCTCTTTCCCATTCTTCGTCTCCCGCACACATACTCTGGCTAGAATACTGCTTTTGAATTGCGCTTACCTGGTTCGGGCAGAGACACTGCAGCGAATAGTAAGCAAACTGGTCTCGCACATTCACCAAATTATTGTTGGGGTTGATGTGGTCCAGGCAGTGGGATTCTGCTTTGCCAGAGGTTTTGCACACATACTTGCAGTTCCCAAAGAGACAGTGGAAGTGGAATTTGTTGGCGTACTTGCAGTCCGTTGCCAGGCAGGGATCACTGGAATACATCCAAAACCCAATCATCACCTTCACTCATTTCACACATTCCTTTCTTTGCCAAAATTTAATTCGAGGGGATCCCAGCTGAAGCCTCTGGTCCAAACATGGCCTACAGATTTGCCATAGCCACCTTCCCCTTTAGTAAAACTGATGCTGGCAACACTACTGCAATTCCACCAAGCTAGTGCACTTTCTTGATTAACATTATTAAAATACAGCAATGCATGGTGGGTTCTGTAATCTTTGAGGGCCACAAGTCCAATTTAAAGCTCTCTCAAGATCCGGATAGATCCCGTTTCTCGCTTTCTGCCTGTACTTATCTCAATGGATTCAGATAGTTTTCCCACCTCAATTTTGTGTTAACTGAAATGAAACTCTCAGGCATGCACCCTGCAAGATGCCAGGGCTTCCCCTGATTAGACAAAATCAGCAACAGCCTGTTTAATTAGCTAAATGGTTTTGGTACCTTACTCCCCCCACCCATTCCATGGATTTCTGGCTGCACAGAGGTCAGATCGGAGGTAGCTGAACATTGATCTCTGTGAACCCCATGATTACCTACTCAGATGTGTGAAATAGAATTAATACACTTTGAAAGCAGACAAATGACTGTCAATATACGACCCAGAGACTGATACTCCACCAGCCTGACAAGCCAAGCTGTAATGCCCTAACCTGATCCTGGACTCCTATGTCCTCCTGCAAATGATGTAACTTCTGTGCCTGTCTATGTAACAGAGATAACACCATCAGCACAGTAACACTGTGAAACTTCTTTAATGTTTTAAAAGAAGTTCAGCAAGGTTATGTTACCTTCTGCCAGACACCTCCACTACGAATTACTTTTTGTAAACTAACTTTTGTAAACTAAACCAGAGGCACAGAATTTAAAGAGACTCATTACACTTGTACTGAAGTTTAGCCAGGACACCAAAACTTCGACAAATCTGAAGTGAGAGATATTTGTTCCCTATTCCTTGAGCTGCTGAGAGACCCATTCTTGGTAAGGCAGAGTCCAAGCATTTGTGCCTCCTCCACTATCTGACCCCCAGTTGTCTTCACTGAAAAAAAAATAAAAAATGCAGCTGTATTATACTGAGTTACAGATGGCATTCCCAGAAAAAGGCCACAGAGCTTACTGGGGACAAATCCAGCAGAAATCCAGCACGCTTCCTTTTCAGCAATCTGTAAACATCTACTCTTAGTTCTGCGTACTTTGCTGCAGTAACACCTCACCTTTGCATTACTGAGTACAGTTGACCACTGATTTTTGCTCAACTACAGAAACTCACGGCAAGTCTCACACTTGCATCAAGCTCTGGAGATGGGCTAGTAAGGAGTCCGGCTGAAAATTTTAAAGATGCTGTGCTTCCTCTCTAGCCTTCAGGATCAAAAATACTGCAAAGACACGTGTATTTCTGTACACCTCTCATGAGGTATAAAAAAATGCTTCAGTGGTACGTCAGCAAGTTTATCTCCCCTCGAAACTCATACCCAACAATGCTCCCAGATGCACTCAAAAACCTTGGTTTTTCCTAGGATAGCTGAAGGTATTTTCTAGACTTTGTAGAAGTAAATTTTCAGTGAGATAAAGCCCAGAGTACTTTCTAGACAGAAGGCCTCTCAGTGGGCAAATACAGATGTAGTACTACAGCTTTGAGGAGCGGTAAAGAGGGGATTGCTAGGCTGGAGAGAACACAAGGATGCAAGTAGCATCTACAACTTACTTCTCCTGGAACTGGAGAAATCCGGGTTTGACCTGAGGCTTGGCGTTCTCCAGGGAAGTCGTCGCCAAGGGTGAAGTTGCCAGGTTAGGCACTGATGCTGGGATCTGAGGCATCTGGGGTATGGTTGAAGCCAGCTGCTTCCAAGCTAGCAGCGTGGGGGCAGAGGGCACAGCAGCTGGACTTGGAGTAGGTGCGTCGAGGGCAGGAGCACTTGCCATGGTGACAGAAGTAGCAGATGGTGATGAAGGGGCCAGTGAAGCCTTACACTCAGTAGTAGTTGAGAAGGGAGACTCAGAGTTGCTTTTCACAGTTCCACCCTCAGTTCGGAAGTGAAAACTGCAAAAAGACAGTGTGACTCAGACGTAGGTTCTTGACCATTGCATATAACTTGATTAAACATCAACATGAATGTGGCAGGAGTCTGCAAATAAATTAGCTGAGGTTAAATCCTAAAAGGGCTGTATCCTGTCTTAAATTTTGCAACATCTTCGTCCTTTTAAACCCCTTCAGAATCAGTCACGTGGCCAGTTGCTGAAGGCCTTGTTCATTCTTTAGTCAGGGAAGTCTTCCATTGCCTTTAAAAGCAACGTGGTGTGGTTTTGAACTGCAGATGACGCTCTGCAGAAATCTGCAACAGGGAAGATTTCCAACATCCCACCCTTCCTTTGCTAGTCCCCTCACTCTAACAGTGGGAGTGTATCTTAAATTTACTCTTCACCCAATAGCCATGTAGAGTTCTGAGCATGCTGTACAGCCTCTGTAATACAGGCCATATTACCTAGCCAACAGTTCTGGCCACCGAACTCTGGGCTGTCTGCTACTTTCCAAAGCAAGGTGAGATGACAAAGAGTTTACAATACAGAACATGGCAAGGTAAGGAGGAGGCTGCTGTCAAGCCGGACAGTTTGACTGCTTCATTTCAAGATCCTTATCCACATGATGTGAAACTCTTAAACAAAACCATATAAAAGGGCTAGGGAAAACTTGTTAGAAGAGATTTGTCACGACAAGACCAAGAACAATAAAATGCTTTCTCAACTGCAGTGATAGGGAGCTGTCTACTCCACAAAAAGTCCGTATCCTGTGGCAATGGTTGGGTTTACAGGATCCTGTCCCTCCCATACTTTCTTAGTACCTTGTATGGTGTATTTGTGCGCTGTGAGAAATACGGGTCTCCTTGAACACACTGTCTGTCAAGCAGGCTATGGAAAAACACAAATGTCCAATGCTCAGCCTTGCCAACACCTCTTTTTCACAAGTTGAGCACGTTTATTGTGAAACAAATTTAAAGAGGACATAGTGTTCTGCAAAAATTTTAGCTTAGCACATTGACGCAGGAAGCATGTGGATGCCCACACTGCTGCCCTCAGGACTGCCCACGTTCCTGCTCTTGAACAGCTACTCAGTAAGGTCTCTCTCGTCCCGCAGCGTGCGTGCTGCAGAGCTTTCTCCAGGCCTCCCAAGACTCACGCTCTCTACTTACTTGGCGTGCTTGATGGCTCCATCCAGGGTGCTGAAGAGGGCACCGCACTCCTCCACCACGCAGTGGAAATGCACCTTATGGAGAAAGTCGCACTGTGCATCGCAGAAATCCTTGGTACCAAACCTGGCCAAAGCAGAGAAGCAGCCATCTTACAGAAGGCCCCAGAAGAGAAGCAGTGTTGGAAGAGACGTATTTTCTTTGTTTTTCAACTCTACTACCATTCTGTTTTCTAACATCACGGTCCCTGCTGCACAAACTGCACTGCTGGCATTGTTGCTTGATTATTGCCTGTTACATAGACCTGAACAAGCAGAACAAGAACCTAATTTCTCTCCAACTGAACTTGACCGACAAACTGCCATTCACTTTTAGTGGGAGCAAAATACAGAAGTACTCTGAAACAAAAGATAAAAATCTTTAAGTGTTCTTGAGCACCTATCTACAAAAGCCAAGGCTCTGAGGAACGATCAAAGGACAGTAAATTAAGGGCAATCCAGACCAAGAGGACACTGCTGAAACATTACAGGTCGTCTTTTTTTTACTGGCGGTAGCAAAAAGGAAGAAATAACAGTGGTTCAAGGGAATCTAGGTCCAGAATCCACCTGCCCCCCACCTTGAAACAACAGGGTATCACACAGATGGGAGAGAAAAAGTATGGGCTATATAGCAATTACAGACTAGTATGCATAAACACTGAAAAGCACAATCCCTGAAGTACAGAAGAAACACTGCTGCAATGCAAAAACCAGAGGAAAAGCCATCACCCAAGATCTGCCTCTTGTCATCTCGGAGGAAACAGTCAAGAGGGCAAAAACAACTAAGCAGGGTTTTTCACTGCTCATCCACTGCTGAGATTCTCTAAGCTTAGTAAGAGTAGCACAAATACATGTGATTTCAGGCAACTCCAGAATCATAGGGAATCAAGAAATCGAGTAGAAAACACTGGCAGGAAGGATTTTAAACTTAACAGGGGAATCTTGCATAATTAAGATACAACAAACTACTGTTGCTCTGATGAGCAGGAAAGCAAGAAACAAACAGCAGCCTGTATGGTCCCAGGAGGGACCTCTTCCCAGTTTGAGGGTAAGGGAAAAGGAAAAAAAAAACTTGTACTGGAGAAGGAATGTCAGTGGATAGACAATACATGTATTCAGTTAAGGCTTACAGGGAGATGATGAAGGAAAGTAAAGGTGTGGCAAGAGATAAGAAACCAAGTTACTGCAAGCTAAAGGGGTTGTTTTATCAGGGACAAGAGTTACTGTACTTAGAAAGAAGGTCTGATAAAAATGGGAGATGATGAGTCAAAAAACAGTTGCCTTGTAAAATTTGCTTTGGATAGGAAAACTAAAGATAAAGCAGACAATTAGGGATAAAATGAAGACCTTCTAGAAGAGCAGATAAAGCGACTGGTTGGAAAATATAAATATGCACAAATCAGCCAGTCTGGATGATGTATGTCCTGAAGTGCAATGGAAATTAACTCACAAACTGATTGCATTACTATTTGCTATTTTTTAACCCACAGAGAAGAGGGAGGTACTAGGAAATTGGAAAAAAAAAAAAAAATCTAGGTACTGATTCTTTCAAGGAAAAAAAAAAGACAAGTGATCTTTGGCAATTATCATACCTCTAGTCTTAACTTCTCCTTCCAGTAAAGTAATGGAACAAATATTAAGAGGGAGGAGAAAATCATTAAACATCTAGAGGATAAAGGAACCATGAGCAATAAACAGCATCAGGATTATAAAGAATAAATCTTGCCAGACAAATTTAATTGCTTTTTTTGATAGAATTACAAAATTATTGGATGAAGGGATGCAATATATTTGGATTTTAGTAAAGCGTTTTGATACAGTCTCGCATATGCTTAGAATTAATTCAAATTGGCCTGGATGCGAATGCTACCTCATGGCCTGAAAACTGGCTGAAGGACCGTAAACAAAGGCTAATGACAAACAGCAACATATTGAGCTGGGAGGAGGTATCTTGTGAATGCTGCAAGGATGACTTCGGTTAGGTCTGAGCTTATTTAACATCTTCATTAGTAATCTAGGAGAAGGAGTAAACAGCGTGTTAATGAAATGCACAAAAGACACTAAACTGGGAGGAGTTGGCAACACCAGTGCAAGAGGAGAAAAATAACACAGAGCAGCCTTGCAAGACAAGGGAGAAGGTTCAGAATACGAGAGTCGTATTTGGAAACACACAGCTCATACATCTGGGGCCGGGGGGTGTATTTGTATACATAGGGGACTCATGAGAGCAACGTTAAAAGCAAGCCTGTGTAACAGGGGATGGTAAACACGATCCATAAACATTGTGCAGTACAGATGCAAACCAGGCAGCACAACTGTGAGCTGCATAGATGGGGGCAGGAAGCTTGTTCTGTCTGGTGTGGTGATCCAGGAATGGCAGCCCAACTCTGCACCCATTCAGGGCACAGCAAGAAAGACAGCAGCAACGACATGGTCAGCAGGCTGAGGGGACCAGTTTACAAAGTCAGATTAAAGGAGTAAATAAGCTTGGTTAAATGGTATGCTAGAAGTCTGTGACTGAAGGGGGTGAACTTCAGCTGCGGAGAGGAATTATCTGCTGTGGGTCCAGGGGATAGAACCAGGAGAATGGCAACAAAATTACAAAAAGGGAAATTCAGGCAGCGTACCATGAAAAAAATGTGACAGTAGAATAACGCTCCCAGAGAAAAGAAAATAGCCACACTGCTTGGCATAATTACAACTAGGCTGGACAAAATGTAAATAGACTGCAGGAAAGGATCTCGCAATGGCCAGGGGCAGATGGACTAGAAGACTTTCTAGACTTCTCCACTGAAGTCTGTGATTTACAAAGTGTCCACAGGCATTTGTAGGCAACTCTCTGTGTCAGAGCACAAACCTGTATGTGTCTGCCTGGGTGTATCTGTGTATGCTCAAAGCATGTGTCTGGGCATGTATGTGCATGCGTCTGTGTGTGGGTGAGTTTTGTATCTGTTCCATTTTCCTTTCAAGCCTCTTTGTCTACAACAAAACCAGCAGAAGCCATCCCAGATCCCATACCCCTTATACTCCTTAGTTTGTTTCCGTGGCCTATGATCAGTGGAGATGCCACAGCAAGCATTTTAACGCTTCTGTGATCTGTGCACAATGAAATATGGTCCAACAGACGTTCAGTGCCAAGAGCAAGCTGCGGTGGGTCCCCTGGACTTGCAGCCTGGGGACACAGAGAGGAGCCTAAGATGAAGTCTAGTCTAGCAGTACTATGTGAAGATCTGTGCTCGCGGTTGGCTCGCAGGATCCCTTTACAAAGTAAGTCTATGTGGACAGATATTTCTTACAGGACATTAACACCTCCTGTAGCCAGCCAGGGACTGAGGACTAAATGCACTGCGGAAGGTGATCAGCATATCACAGCATTAGGCCTTTACATTCAAGTGTGAACTAGTGAGCCAGATGCTTGCAAAGGAAATAATTTTCCCTTTCCTCTCTTCCCAGCTCCATGCCCTCCTTACCGGCGCAGGTACATCTTCCACGGCTCAGAGAGCTTCTCCTGGACAAGAGCCTTCACTGCCTTGCCCAAGTACTGTGTTGGCTCTCCAGTCCCAGCCTTTCAGCAGGTTGCCAAGGCTGGCACTGGTCTTGGACATCTGGAACAAGAACATAGACACTGCATCAAGCCCAGCACACAGCCATGGACACTGCCAGCTTGGACAGCCGCAGGACTGTCCCACGGAAAGCTGTGTCTTCAAAGATTAAGAGAGAAGACAAGCAGTCTGTGCAGGCACCCTAAACTGCATCAGCAAAACTCAGTAACACCTCACTCTTCTGCATCCTCCACCCAACTATCACAAAGTACTCGGGTGCCCATCTAATATTCGTAGCCCTTGTGTAAAGTAATACAGCATTGTGTCTATTTTATATACGGGGAAACAGAGGAGGAGAGACATACCTTGAGCATGTAAAAGAGGTGCAGGCTTAAACACAACCCTATATAGCTCCTACAAAATGCGGGTCTCTTACTACAGAGCTGGTAAAGATAAAACTGGTAAGCTCTAATTTATTCAGAATCATCCCAGCCACATGGATGTCTCCTTCTTTAAAGTGACTATCAGGTATGTTTGGGGGTGGAAGGGGGGCGTCTCATCCAACTGGGGAGAAATCTGGCTCCACTTAAGTGCCTGGAAAATTCCTACTGACTTCAATAAAGAAATTATGTCACTTCCTGTGCTAAATGGACATATCCTCCACAAACCAGAACTTGGACTCACAATTTGCCTTGTGTGAAAGGCTTCAAATAGATTCTACACAGAGAAAGTTTAGAGATCCAGGCACATGATGTGCAGGACAGAAAACAGAAGTTACTCAAGAGTGCTTAGAGAAAAAATTTCTTTCAGAATAAATGCACAATTTCCCAGACCCTTTCTTGCCTTGTTGTGCTCTCAGTTACCTCCAGTAACACCAGTGAAATTCACAGCACAAATAAAATGCAGGATCGGGCCCAATACTTGCATTATAAGCTCCACCCACTTGAGGATCTTGAAGCCCTTTATAAATATCAGTTAATTAAGCCTGACAGCCCCCCTAAATAAACTGCAGTACGCTACAGGAATCCTGGCTATTTGAGGCTCTCTTAATGCACCCTGAAGGTAAAGCCCCTGCTGCTATGTGGAGACTGCAGCTCTTTATGGCTGGAGTCAGAAATTCAAGTCGTCTTCTTCCACTGGTGTTTGTTGGGCATTCGATTTCTGAAAAGGGTTCTTTTTCCTAGACAAATAACGAAGCATTTCTCCACGAACAGAAATTGTGTGCAGCAAGAGGAAGAAGCAAGCACAATGTGTTCCTGAGCACACTGAGCTTGATTCTGCAATCCTTAGTCTTGGAATAGGCTCCTTCAAATTTATTCTTTGCTGGTTTATGTCATCAGTTAATCCCATTCCTTCTTTAAAAAAGGAACAAACCTGAAGAACTCGTATTTTGTACCTGTGCTACACTTATTTTGCACAACACAAAGAATCTTATGCAGGGCTGCACACAAACAAATGCTTATTTCCAAGCATATGCTTAAATCTTGTATTCTCCTGGAGATTTTCAAGGGAAGTATCTATTGAAACAGAATTTCCCTGAGCTGGGGCCTTCAGAACCCCAGAGAGCAGACTTACTAAACAGATTTACGCACTGGAGAAAGAGCTGTGTATTTGGAATCACTAAAGGGACAATACGCAGGAACAAGTAAGAAGTTAAGTTTAAAGGGAACACCAAAAACTCAGTGTAACAGAGAGCCAATAGAGCAGAAAAGTGGTATAAGGATAAACACAGAAATTAAAAAACACAGAGAAAAAAAGAGTAATGAAATAAGAGAGAAAAGGGGCGAGAGATTACTAGGCAAAGTCACTTTGCCCTCTCTTGAGGGTTATATGGCCTTGATGCATGTAACGCCCAGAGCCAAGGGGACGGCAGTAGTTGTGCCTGTAAAACCTATCACACAGTAGAATATTAAAGCATGGCTCAAAGGCTGCCCTGATCTCTACTGCAGTTGTACACAACAGCAAAATTAATCTTGGTACAGTAGAATTTATCATGTGAAAGGGAAATATATATTTGAGATGATGTATAATTTAAGGAAAAAGTAAGGAAAAAGAAACCGTGCATTATCTGAAATAAATATTAGAGAACATGGTAAAGGGGGCTCTGTTGGACACCATTACTCACACCAGAAAGACAGAAATTGATGGTTTTTGGCTCAAAACTTCTAATTTTTTCTTCTTCTCTTTAATAAAACCAAATGATTCTCCTCCCCCTCCCCCAATGAAAGAAAATGTTTTTAAGCAAATAAACAAAATGAGTAACTATAAAAAGAGAGTGAGAGAGAAGTTGCCAGGTTCTGGAAATAAAAATGAAAAAAAAGGAAAGAAAAAAAAAAATCTTTCAGAGCCCTCCTCTGTCTAGAAAAGATGGAAAAAAAAAAAAAAGGTGTCAGAGGCTGCAATATATTTCTTCAGCCAGTTCATTAAATTAATTCGTAAGCAGTGGCTCTGAAATTATACCCGATGAAAAATGGTCTCAAAATTTAAATGGTACAAACTCATCTTATTAGAGGCAAAACATTAAAAAACAAACGCATCTCTTCCCCCCCTCCCTGCCATTGCAGTTCTAATTTCTCTTGGTGGGGGGAATGAAAGGCGTTTGATGGATGGCTCTTACCTTATTCATAAGCGAGGATAAAAGAGATGAATTTGCCGAGACTGTGTGGCCATTTGATTCATTACTGGAACACACAAACCAACAGGGTTTAGTTAAGATGTGCACAGGGACCGTGAGCACTGAGATTAATCCTTCTCCCTTCAAGCTGCCTCACTCTTCACCTGCTGCATCCGGAGGAAGAGAATGATGCCCACCCTCCCTTGGGCAGCCCAGACTCTTTCACTTGTGATAGCCAAGATGGAGAGAAAGAAGGTCCCAAGTCCGCAGAGTTTAGTTCCTTCAGCTATTGAACAGCCCAGACCTCTTCCTCCAATGTCCACACCATCACGCTCTGTTATTGGCTGACTCACAACCCACCCCATGTTTTACTCCATCCCATCAGAACTTTCAGAATTTGCCACAAAACCAGGTGGGATGCTGGCAGAAGACTGATACTGCCAGGGACACAGGCCCCCTCGGCAGCAGAGAACAAGGCAAGGCATCAACCCTGGCAGCCACAGCTAAGCGTGCTGAAGGCAACCTTAGTACTTCATATGCATCAGTAATAGTTCTAGTTGACTACAAGTGCTGGGGTCCCAACCTGAGGCTTCGTTAAATAAAGCATGGGAAGGCATGTATACAAAGGTCAAAGTGGAGCAGGCTCACTTATCCCCAGTGTCAGTTCCTCTGCAGTTTTTCCGCACAGGACAATCCCCAAACACTCCTATTCTCAGCAGGGATGCTGGACAAGTGGGACACACGCTTTGAGATAGGTGCATTCACGTCTGCGCAAGTGCGAAGATTCACCACCGTAACTAGAGATTAGCACATGCCAGACCCAGACCAGAGTTAGCCCGACAGCCAGTTGTTCTGTGTGTCCAGTTTCTCTGGAAGGTGCCCCTCTTGGACCTCAGTGCCCTATTTGACCAGTGCAAATGCTTCTGCTAAAAGTGTGCTGAGGTGTGGCACTGGAGCAGCCTTCAATCAGCTCTTGATGACAAGAGCACGAATATCTAAGTGAAAGAAGGAGCTTTGGCAGTGGCTCGTTTCTCAGAGGCAAGCACAAGAGGTGAGGCTCTTGTTAAAGAGTCAGTAGGTGCTTGTGAGCCCAAAAACCATCTGGAGAACATACACTAGAAAGACCCTCTCTGCCTCCAGTGTGGGGGCATCCAGCTCAGCCACTGTGTAATTGCCTTTCATCAACATCTTGTGTCCTGTTGTCTTAGAGGTACGGAAACTTCTCCAAGCCCGATGCTGGAGAGAGCTAAGAGTGCCTGCCTGCGCCCTTCTCTCACCCATGCTCCTTGACGCTCAGGTCCAAGCTGTGCTCCTGCAGGGAGTCCTGACTGGTGGTAGATGACGATCCCATGGCCTCCACAGGTTCCTGCTTCACCTGAACTGGATTGAACCGCCCAGGAGCTGCTGGTTGTCCATTCCCTGCTTGAGAAAGACACCGAAATTAAATCCAAAAATTAAACGAAAAATGTAGGTCTAAAACGAGGTTACAATGGCAAATAAGTAAAGTTAAATCGCTAGCACCAGTGCATAAATGGAAAAAGCAAAGAAAAAGTGTGGGGGGAGGGAAGTGCTGGGATTGCTGGTCAGCGTTTATTGCCAAGCTGACATGATGGGTTCTGACGTCCACTCCAGCGTGGAAATTCTTCAAGTGATAATTATTGCAAAATTATGTCAAAGTTGTCCAGGCTGTGGGCCCTTTAAAGGAGAAGGGCGGAAGGAGCGTGGGGGAGACCTGATTCTCTGCACAAACTGTCATAACTAATTTGCGGGGCTGCCTCTTAAGCGTTTATTAAAGACTCTGTTAATGCTGAGGCAATGTGGCAGCTTTCGACTGCTAGTCAAGCCCCCTTTCTCGTCCCCCGTCCCGGCGTTGCCGTAGCGACAGCGATGGCCGCCACTGCGCGTGCCCAGCAGGAGCATCTGCCCTGTCGGGGCGATCGGAGGTGACAGCCAATGGACTGGTTCAGACCGCGCGACCTCCTGCCTCCGCCACCACGCAGTCCCCACAAACAAGGGGACTTCTGTTTTGGGGGGAGGTTTAGTGCTGAGCCCATGAAAGAAAAATTTGAATTAAAGAGAAAAAAGAGGGAAGGGGGGAAAATGGGAAAACAAATTAAAGAAAAAAAAATTAGGAAGAACAGCAAAGAAAAAAGGAGGGAAAAAAGTTGCTGACAGGAACATGTCTGCAGAGCTTTTTTCCACAATCCCCAAGTGACTAAAATATTAATTTACCCTCCGGCAGTACAGCTGAAGGGGAGCTGCTTCTCAGACAGCAAGTGGCATTTTATTAAAAAATAAAGGAAAATAGTTCCCTCAATGACCTTTCTCTGCTTTAGGAAACAATTTTTCAAATAATAATTTTTAAAGTATGTGAAAGTTCCCCTCCCTCTTTAATCAGATCGCTGCATCCTCCTCCCTTACTCACTCTTGGGCAGAAGGAACATCGGCAGCACCCCCACACCCACGGACCATCAGCCTGCTCGGGCCTTTCCTCATCCCAGGGAAGAAGGGTGTGGGGCAGCCCAGTGCCTCCCCTCCAGCAGCCCATGCTGCTCCTACTGAACAGTAGGAGATGGTGAAGGCACCCTGTGCTCTTGTGGGAGCCCCGCGTCCCTGAGGGGCGCAGGCCACAACCTGCCCCAGGTCTAGATGGCAGCAGGAAGAGCCCCGGTCTGCCCCAGGGGACTTCTCATTCCTGTCTCGTCCCCCTCCCACCATGCCACTGCCCCTTGCAGTTCAGGGCAAGAACTGAGCAGGAGAAAGGTCCAGTTTGAAGACTGTGCCAACACTATCTCCAAACCAACAGAGCTGGAGCACAGAACCAACCCCCCAGATCAGAAAAACAATTGGCAGTGACCTACAGGATCAACACCACTCAGCCCAGCTAGAACTCGATACAGTCTGCACACGAAGGCCTCCAAATACTGGCCAAGCTTTTTCTTCATTTCCATTTTTAATACAGTGCCTCTCTCTTTCCAGCCTACAGCAAACTAGGCAATGCACATGGCAACACTCTTCCTTCACGTCTGGTAAGAGCCTACTCCATTTGTGGGCAAAGCTGTGTTTCCCATCTCTCTTCTGGCCACGTGGCTATAGCCAGGCTCCACAGAAAACCATGCCAAGGCTGCCCTCTTCAAGCGTCAACTGCACACAACCAAATTACTCTCCCTCCTCCCCACCTCCAGTCCCATGTACATCCAGGTGCCTTCTTATTCACTCCTCTCCAAGTCATCAGGCACTGCTCTTCCTCCCACTGCTAGCACAACTGATGAGGGTAACTCACCTGCTTCAAGAGACACAGAGGGCTTGAGTGCAGCTGCTGCCAGCCTGGCCATCATAGGAGAGATTAATCCCTTGCTAGCAGAGATCCTTTCCATTATAGATGCCGCTGGAGCTGGAGAAGAAGTAGCCGCTGTCTCAACAGATCCTGAAATGGCCTGGGATGAGGAATCCGTAGGAGCAGATGATGTTGGATTGGTGCCAGAAGAACCAGCAGTCATCAGATTAGCTGAGCTGGCGGGAAGTGGTGTAGAGACCCGACTGGGGATGATGGGGAAGAAGGATCCAGCTGTTCCAGGAAGTGCTGAGTTGGAAAGTGCCAGGGCCAAGGGTATATTGCTGGGAAGAGCCTGGGAGAGCAGGCCAGAGATCTTGGTGGCTGGTGTCATGCTGTTGGCAGACTTGCTGGCCTGTGAGGAAGCAAGGTCAGCAGCAGAGGAGGGTGCACCTGGGACTATGAGAGAAACGGAAGACTGTTGACTGGTGGGGGAGGCACTCAGGCTGGAGTTCTTCGAGCTCATAGCAGAGAAGTCAATAAGGTCATCATTACTGGACTCCTCTTGCTCATTATCCTTGGAGCCCAGGAGAGAGGCAGGCAGGCCCAGCACTCCTGAGCTCCGGATGTGCCGGCGCTCATGTTTGCGTTTATGGGAGGTCATCTGGCTGGTGGAGGTGAAGGTGAAGCCACAGCCTGCCCTTATGCAGTGGAAGTGGTTGGTGGCCTTGCTGTAGACACAGCCCTCATACTTGCATTCTTCATACTTGTAGAACTTCTTGAAGCCATCCTTGGCATAGGCATCATCTTTGATGTGGTAGCTCTTGTGCTTCTCAATGTCACACTTGTTCTTGAAGGTGAACGTACACCCAGGTCGCCTGCAAGGGCATTGAGGAGGAGAGGGTGGTTGGCTGTGTGGGCTAGGAGCACAACGCAACTGCTGTCACCTGCCTCCCTCTAGGGTAGAGACAGTATGAGACAACGGCCCTGGCTGCAAAGGGGTTGAGGAGCTTTATGTGGGTTAACCTGTGACACCAAGGCAAGCAAAAATGCTGCCACGTGAGAGCTGCAAAGCTCACGCCACTCTGAGGAACAGGCACAATAACATGGGGATGCAGGCACCCATCACTAAAAGTTCCAGCCAAAACAGCAGCTAAAGGGGACTAAGGTACAAACTGTGCTTTCCTACTCTTTCTGAGAACATAAGAAATCAATAGAAGAGCACTTGTGTACAGAAGGCAGAGTCTGGCCCTGAAAGGGATGAGCTGGCTGACTGTTGGCTAGAGAGAGAACTCTAGCATGGAAGTGCCATTAGCAGTATTTTAATGGCCTACTTCAGCTGAACTCTGAAGAGCACTGTGATCTCTTTCCCACATGATTCTAGGATGTATTTTCTAGCGGGTACCCTTTCCTCAGATCCTACTCCTGCCTTCAGAGTGGTCTGTGGCAAGATCCTGGAAATCACATCTGCCCTGGAGCACAAGTTCTCTCAAGAGCAGTACTGAGAAGGTCACAGCAGAGAAAATCAAGTCCCTGTGTAGACTCCTGAATTTATGATGTGGCAGGAGGCGGCAAACAGACCATGCAACTCTGAGGCAGGATTCCTCCCCTTCCCTGCTGTCTCACCTGCAGTGAAAGTGAGTGGTTTTCTGCCCGTAGAACTGGCATTCCACAGTGCCGCAGTCCTCCGTGGCACGGAACCGCTGAAACCCGTCATTGATGAGCTGCGTGTTCTTCTTGTGAAAGTTCTCATGGGTCATCACGTCAGAGGTGCTTGTATAGACCTTGTTACAACCCACCTACCCCAGACGAAAGCAGGGAGTCGTCAGCACACCGTTTTAACAGCCTACCATTGTTACCAGCAATAATAAACAAATGAGCAGCACATATTCATGTAATAGTTCCATTTGTGCACTTCTCCTAGGAGTATTAAGTCATCACTTTCATTCCCAATCTAAAGACTGATAGAGAAGTTGTGAAAAAACCCACCAACTCTCTGGGCATGAAACAGTAAGAAAAAAAGGGGAGGATGCAAAGGGATGAAAGACCAGCTACAGATAATCATGCCTGCTTAGGGAGGCAGCAAGCAGGGTTCTTGCTCTTAAGGAGAAAAGAACACTGACAAATGCCGTTACTTTTTGTTACCTTGGAGCGACACAGAACGAAGTAGAACTTCCATCTATTGGGGAATACAAAACTGAGTGGGAATGACTGATTTACCTCTTTAGTCCTTCTGGGAGGTAATGCGCAGTGGTGCAACATGAGGCCAATCTTTTGAGCTTGTATTATATGGGTTTCATTCTAGCAAAGCATAAACCCTATGTTCAGCTGATCTTAGCAAACCAGTAACTTTTTTTCCCTGTCAGTGTTCAAGATTACCACTTCAATAATGTTAAACTCGTGCAGCAAATGCGAATGGTGTGACGAGGACGGAATGCCTGAAACCTGCCTTCCTCTGGGTAAAGCGGGCAACTTTGCCATATTGAGTAAAAAAACACTGGAATCTGAAAACGTCCTCATCCCTGCTGAGGGAGGACTTTTTTTTTTCTTTTCTTCTCTAGCACAACGTGTGCCAATGCCTGCACCATCTCAGAAGTGAAGAGAACGAAAACACCACCTCTTAGTTCAGCCCAGGTTGATTCAAACAGGCAATAACAAAACCCATGACAAATACGCAGAAAAAAAAATAAAAAAGGATCTCCAGCTATTTCCAATATAAAAGAGTCTCTCTCTCTCCGCACTGACACCTTGAAAAAAGACAGACCCTGCATGGCATTAAAAAAAAGAATTAAACAAAAACCTCCTTAGGAATAATTTGCAATGTAGCTCTTGGTGCTAAAGCCTAAAAAAATGTCAGTTTATATAAACAACTAACTGAATTTTATCCACACCAATTATGGACATAAAGAAAAAAACCCCATGAGATGGATGGCACAAATTCTGCCATTTAAGCAGTATTTTCTTTAATTGGGAGTTTATATTCAGACACCTTTCCTGTAAGACCCTGCTTACACGGGCATTATTTTACTGGGAGACAGTGGGCACAAGATGGAATTACCCATATATAGTTGTGTAAACGAGGGTCTCTATTCGAACTTGGAGTGACTTAAAGCTGTGAAACACTCCCCATACTCTAAAAAAAAAATCAAACAAAACCCATCCTGCTCAACTGAAGAAACTAAACAATCAATATTATGGAAGCATAACAGAAAATGTCCTCAAGAGAAAGTCACATGAAGTTCCCAATTTATCAAACGTTGTAAGCACACGCTTACACCAACCCCTATTCAGGACAGTACTTGAGTGCATGCCTAACATCCAAGTATGTGCTTAAGCCCCATTGACTTCAGAAAGCTTACCTGACTTCAAGTTAAACATATGCTGAACTCTATCCCAGCAAAGCATTTAAGCATGTGATTAAGGCCTTGTGACTCTATCTGGGGTCTTAAACTGCCAGGATAGGGCAGGAAGTGAGACCTGAGTTTTCAGAACAGAAACGCTTTCACCAAGGGTTGCCCGATTATTCTGTTTGTCACTACAGCACATTCTCATGGCAATGGTTTAGGCCACAATTCTAATGAAGCAAGTACGTATCAAACCCTCTAATCTGAAGAATGATCCGGGTAAGACACAAACAACCTGGTGCATCCACGTCTAAAACTAGTAAAGGCGTCACAGTTACATCTATGCAGCAACTCCAACCCTGGTTACGCTGCTGTTGAAGCCTGGCTGGCTCTTGAAACAAAGCTCCCAGTCTACACCACAGACAAGTACCACTGGTGAAGGAGATGAAGAACCAGGGGTGTTAAGTCTAGATACGTGACATTAAAGTTTAATTACTTTAGAAATTGATTATGGAGGAAATTAACCCAGTGTTAAAGGGCAGATGTGTCACAGAAAAGTCTGATTTCCAGGCAGTGACAGATCAGATTTGAATAGAGGCAGAGCAGCAGCATCGCAGAGAGGTCCCTGAATCTCAGAGAATGGGACTTGTTTGTAAGTGAAGCCCAAGACTGTGAGAAAACCTTTAGACCTGCTTTGCCTGACTGTGTGCACAAGGTATCTAAAAACAGAGAACAGGGCTTCCCTTTGCCCTTCCCAACACTTGGCAAGGCAAGTGCAGTGAGGACAGGGCACAGACTCTTCAAAGAGGTGTCTGAATCACAAGGGAGCAAGAAAGGCATCCTTCGCCTCAGGACGGCCCCTTGCTCTCTAACAAGGGAGTGTTGGGCTGCCTGAACACGAGAATCCTTTCAGTCCACCCCAAAAAGGCCACAGCTCCAACAATAGCTCTTCACTCGCCTCGTGTGCTACCACCTATTCCCCAGTCCAGCTGTTACCTGCATGCAGTGGTAGTGTGTGCTTTTCCCATTCAGGTGGCAGCCGTGATAGTACACGCTACAGTCATCCAAGGGGCTGAAGCGCATGAAGCCGTGCTGGAGGGAATTATCACGTTTCTTGTGCATGTTGTAATGCCGAATCACATCCTGTTTACTAGTGAATCTCTGGAGAGATACAGAGACAGACAGTGAGACACACGTGATGGGAGTGGGTGAGTAATCCTGGGGGCAGGGTCATTTTTTTTATTGTTGTTGTTAATAAACTTTTGGTACCCAGAGTTTAAAGCTCAGCAGTAATCACCCCAAGAGAGTCACATTATTAAGGAATTGTGTGCAGATATCTTCTTGGCAAAGGGATAGTATCTACACATGAAAAGTTGTAAACATGACACTGGGGTGATGTCCAGAATGCTCTCCCTGCAGCTTTAAGACTGCAATTCTTGTAACGTAATTTTAGCTTCTGCTATCTCAAGAACTGCTATAGTTAGAAAGCAAACCAGTGAACTAAACAGCCTACAAGAGAGTAATCCAAGCTTCCAAATCACTCACTGTAGTGGTTAGCAAGACACTGTCTGCCACATTCATGTCAGGCTAGAAACTGGGAAAAACACTCTGGTCTTTCATAGTATCTTCCCATTCTAAGTCTTCTGCCTCCCCTACATGGCAGGACAGCTTTATTAGGAAAACAGAGACACAGAACTCTCTTCCAGTCACAGAAGAAGATGGTAGTAGAGCTCAGGGCTAAATCTGTATGACCAGAATATCCTGTTCATCCTCTACCTGCTTGAAGTAATGAAGGGGTACCCCGCTGTGAGAGCAGGCTAAGTGCCTTTAAAATGAAGCTTTTCATTTCTATTTCCCACAGACATCAATATTTAACAGTGAAGGTGGGAAAGTAAATCTGTTTTGTTTTTTTTTAAATAAATCAATATCCATTTATTTTGAGGAGTAATTGAAAAGGCCTGTATTCTAATGTTTAACAACTTTTCTAGTCTCCCTCATAGGAAACAAATGATTATCGCTTCTACTTTTTCCTCCTATAGTATCAATCCTGATCAATCTTGTTGGTATTGGCATGGGAATATATGGATATAGATTTCAACAGGAATCCCTTAGAGGCTGGAGGTATGATTTCCCAGAGCGTACACACAGGATTGCTATTGCCAATCATTGTTAATTTGTGCCCACTTATTACAGAGCGTTACTTATTCTAAAATATATCTCAGCCATAAAATAATTTGCATTTTAAAAAGCAGCCTAAAACCTTATTCCCTGTGAGACCAGACAGCTCCTTTGCAAGCAGCTTCCAGACTCCTTAGGAAATAATCATGAGGCCAATCATAATAATGGGTTTTCCTGTCTTTCCATCCTTTGTGTTTCTCTCTTTCTGCTGCAGAGATATCTGTGTCACAGTTGGGACAGACATCTCGATTACCAAATGCTCGGCTAGGAGGACCACTACGTACGTCCCAGAGACAAACTCTCCTGTGATCAATAGAAGCCCATAGCCAAGCTCAGCAGATCCGGATCAACTTCCTCTGCTGTGGTCAGCCTCATTCCTTTGAGACCCAAAGGTCTCCTGGGGTAGGGCTGAAGTTGTCTCTGATGCACAGCAGAGGCAAACTCTGGGATTCCCGCTTACATGCACGCAGCCTGACCACAGAAATGGCAGTGTCAAGCTCACAGACCTGGGAAGAGGGTAAACAAACACAGCACGTGACTCGGCTGGCTTGACGTCGCTACCCTGGCAATACTCCCAGTAATTACAGCATTGCACATGCTCCTGCCCCCACGCTTTCCCCACAAATCCCGGACTGCTGCTGGTCTTACTGGGTGTTTTGATGCAGATACTGCTGCTACAATGTCACTCAGGCAGCAGGAGGGAGAGAGAGACTAACAGATCAGCGTTCCCTAGTTTCAGGCACAATTTGTAACACACTAGAATTTATTCTCCTGGTTTCACTAATGCAAATCTGGAGTAGTTCCCACTGACGTGAGCCGATTTACATTCTGCTCTTTGGTATAGTGGTCTGGGTTTGGTTAAATGGTGTTAGATTGGGTTAAAGGGGAACTAAATAGGATTCTAGCAAGTTCAAAATGTATCCTGCCCTGATCCAGAGCAGAAAAGTGAAGAGGCATGTGTGTGCACGGGGAGGAAAGCACAGGAGGACACGCATCTCGCCCTTTGCATTCAGGTAGCTGTGCTGCCAACTTTTTACCATTCTTTTACCTGGTAGTTGCACTCTGGGTCAAGGCAGTGGTAATGTTCGCGATACTGGTATGCACAGTGTATGTGTCCACAATGCTGACTGCCAGAGAACCTGCAAACGTAAGAGGAGGACAGAAGAACGAAGGGAGAGAGAATAAAACAGTGTCCTGATAGTCATGCCTGTAAGTAAGGTACAAGGCAAGGAAGTCCCCTTCCTGCTTTCATCCCACATATTTATGGCACTAAACCCCACCTCCTTTATCCCCTCCAAGGATGGTGACCCTCCCACCTTCTTTTTCTTATTTGTCACTATTTAAAGGTGCTTCTTGAGCAGGATTGTTCAGGTCTTTTACATCCCTAGTCTGTCTGTCTTTCCCTTTGAAATTCATCTCCATTATCTAAGTTGCTTACTTGGAGAAGAGTAAGAAAGGAGGGTTCCTTGGATTAAGTATTTTACAATTCTGAAATTCTCAAGTGTGAGTTTAGATACCACAGCAGTGAGTTTAGAAATCTCCCATGCCAGAAGACGACAAATAAACGTTGGTCAAACACGGATTCTAAATGCTAGGTATATGCCCACCTAGTAGGACCTCAGAAAAGCTCAGGCATTCATTTGTTTGTATGAGTTCTGTCTCACGACTTTTTCATCACAGTATGGTGTCACACTACAGAGAAGACTGCGAACCAGTGGATTACATGGTAAGCCACACAGATGGAGCATGATCATGGCAGGATTACACGGAAATTTTCAATAGGATGGACAGATGAACGGAAAGCTGGGTGAGATGGATCAACAGGAACAGAACAAAGCATCACAGGCAGACCATCTCAGCCCTGTGTGTGCATCTTCTCCCATGCATGACAGCCCTGATAATCATTATTTTCCATGTGGATACACTATTTGCTCACAACAAAAAAATGGTGCAATGCAAAAGAACAGGGTTTCCAGCCTGCCTCTGAGTGCAATTAAAAGCAGAACACAAGAATCAACAGCCAACAACATGCACCCAATCCATTTCTGCAGGCCACCACTGAGCATTCCACACAGCAAATCTGGAAACTCCTGACATACAGGGTGGGGAAAAAACCCAGAGAGGCAGAAATGCCATATAGTATCTACATACAAACAGGCAGTACACAGAATGTATTGACTGATAGACACATCAGTAATTGGCAAAAGGGGACAATCCAGTAACAGGCTAATCAGTGCGAAGAACTCTCTGATGTATATTCTAGAGGACCCTGGAAGAGCTGCAGAGCTTGAAAGGGAAAAACAGTGGAGAGAAGGGGACTCAGAGGGGAAACATTCAAAGATAAAGTACCATCTGCTCAAAGGTTCCTCAAAGGTTCCTCACGTCACTTAGCGCTAAACACAGCAGGAGTGCGTATGATAAAGGGCAGGGGAAAGAAACAAGGACGGGCGATGGGTAAAAAGGAAAAATGAGAGGAGTGAGGGTGTCCTGGGGCAATCAAGGAACAGGGCAGGAGCAGGGAAGTTTCTGGATGGTCATAAGGTGAGGTAACGTTAAGCTACAGGATAGAAAAAGTCGGGATGAAAAGCAGTACTAAATAAGGCATTTCTGCAGCACAGTAAGGAAGAGGAGGTCAACTGTGGAGACAGCAGGGCCTCTAGGAGATGGAAAGGGAACTTAATTGACAGAAAAGATAGACATTGCTAAAAAATTAAATGACTTCTTTGCCTCAGCATTCACAAAGGGAGACAGGGACAGATGCCAGGAGCAGACATGCCTTTCCCTGGGGAAGGAGAAGAAATACTGCAGGAAATCAGGATCACGTCAGAACAGGTGATTGAGAAACTGGAACAAACCTCAGCAGCGGAGAAGAAACAAACCACAAGGCAAACAGCAAGGCTGGCTGCACAAACAAAGGTGTGGAACTGAAAGCAGAGGAAGAGATTCCTGCTCAGCGCCTGGGCAACTGTGAGGCTAGTGCAGGGCACAGGCAGCAGCCTGAGTCCCCGTCGCCTTCACCAGGCACACGCAGCTCGGCAGCAGATCGAACTGACTGGTCCTGCTAGTCCAGGGCTTTGTGTCGGCAGCACCACCAGCAGCTTTAAGGAAAGAAATCGCTCTGTGGAAAGCTTCTTCCCTCTTCCACTGATGAGATGGGGAAGAGAGAGCGCAGGACTGTGCAGGGCTGGAGAACTGTGGAGCACAGGCCAGGCAGAGAGAAGGGGAAGATAAACACCTCGCTGATAAATATACACCTTTGAAGCAAAGCAGTCCAAAATATTATCGAAAGCAAGGAGGCAAAATGACCAGAGATGCCAACCGCAGTAAAAGAAGGGCCAGACACCAAAGAGATCTGACTGTATGCGATGAGTTACTACAAGCATCCAAGCAGGAGTAACTCACAGGCTCAGCTTTAAAAGCAACAGCTAAACAAGCACTCTAGCACTTCAAACTCCTACCCTCCTTTCCACGTGCCACGGAAAGGTGTGTGTATGTGGTGTCTACAGTGCAGGAAGGGAGAGGCAAGTGTTCTACCAAACCCTGTGCCTGGGGAAGGAGGGAAGCGGCAGACACAGCACAAAGGGGAAATTCTGCTCCTTCAGTCTGTAAGGTTAGGCTCCTAAAGGGTTATATTCATCCTGTGTTTCTTCTGACACTTGAAACAGTTCAAAGCTATTAATTTTTAAAGCACAGCATCTGTTTAGCTTTTTCATAACAGGAAAGCTTACACACCACACACTTACACGTATACACACGCGCACATTTACATGCACGTACTCTAAGGTGCATCAACACCCTTCTTAATTTACATGAACGTACCCACAATTTCCATGCACACGAACAGACACAAACACACCTGAAAACAGCAAACTCACAGACCATTTAATCACACTGATATGCAAAACCAAACTCCCAAATTGCCCATAGAGGCACACAGATTCATTTTCACAAGAACAACCCCCTCCCCTTACTTTAATCTGTTCACTTTTTTTTTTTTTTTTGGCCAGAAAGAACTAGCCTTGATCTGGCAGGAGTTAGAAAGAAAAACCAAGATAAATAAATAATAATAAAAATAATAAATAAAGAAGTCAGCATGCTTAGAGAGTGTTTACAGACTCATTACCCTGTAACGACGATGTGAAAGAAGGAAGAAAAAAAAACCCACCCCAATTACAAGGGGGGAGGAAACCCACTTGTTGTGTGAAAAAATGGATTATCCCTGGGCAGCTTTTGGCAGTGGCTTTGGCAAACTCATTAAGCTAATTATGCAGTACAGACATACAGTGTCGTGTCTCTCTTCTCCCCCACCCCTTGATTTTAAGACTTTAAACTGTTTTTAAAATTGTGTGTAAATTGAAGGGAAGTGGCTGTGCTGCCAACGGGCGGCTTGTGGAGCTTTTTAAGCAGGATGTGGTGTCCCTTCGCTACCTCACAAGCCTCCCTCAGTTACCTGCCTGACCCAGGAGAAGGGGCTTGCAGAGCGCTACGAAGAGTGGATGTGGGTGAAGTGTTTGTGCAGTTCCCTGCTTGAGAATCAAACTGGGGACAGAAAGGGTGGCATGACCCCTCTCGCTGCAACCTCTGCGATTCCTGCAATCTCAGCAATAAAAGGGTGCTGCTCCTTCTGGCCCACGCAAAGATGGGCTTAAACCCCTGCTTTCATTCTTCTACTCTCCCAGGATGCAGTGAGTTGCCACAATAGAGGCATTGCTGCTTGAGGAACGGCATGTGATGGTGCAGCTGTCCTCTTCCCATGTGTGCTTCTGCCCCCTCCTACGTCAGGGATTTGGGCAAAAGGGAGGAAAGGAAATCACCTCTGGTTCCACTCTCCAGCAAGGGCGAGCACTGCTCCCACCCTTTCCTCCGCTGATGTGCCAGGATCTTCCCTTGCACCTTCCTAGCAGCTGCCTGCCTCCCACCAGAGACTCTCTGGAGACTCTGGCATGGTGGGAAAGCAGAGTACACATCTCCCTCCCCTCTTGTTAATAAATGCCCAAGTGCTCATGGGAACAAACCCTTCAGTTTTATCTCTGGAGAGAAGGGTTTGCTTGCTTCCCTGACTGGTGTCTTTCTGTACACAAGGGGCTTTCACAGTGAGCTTTCTCACATAGCAGATGGAGGAGTCAGTGGGCCAGGGGCAAAGCCTGATGGACCCTTTGCATTGTGAGCCACAGAATAGGCAGGGGTTACACAATGATCTCCTCTGTCCCTCTGGCCCTCATGGCGTTACTCTGTCTTACCACAAAAACCTTGGCCTCCCTCTCAGCATCGCTCATTCCTGACCTAAGCTTGCCCACAGCTGTGGTAAGGTGCCCTAGTCTGCACCTTATTCAGTTTCTCATATAAATGAGCTGCAAAATTTTCCAGGATACACATCCCACATTGATGCCAAGACCTGCCTAAACTCCAGTCACTTGTGAATTCCTCCAGCCTGGATTCTCAGAGGTGAGATGACCTCCACCTGCCTGCTGCAGGCACTAGACAGGATAGGGGAAAAAGGCTGGAGACAGAACAGCAACGGACAGAAAGAACGACACTCCAGAGACAGGGCGCCCATTTAAATTCTGGGCTTCTGCAGTGTAACATTTTTCCACTATTTGTCACAACGTCTAACAGCTCTGGGGAGCGGAGCACACTCTTGGCATGCCTGTACACCTCTCACAGCTACTGCTCTCCCAAGCATGGGAACAGAGCAAGTACAGATGCCAGAGGGAAATGGAAGTGCCAATGACTGGTTTAAGCACTTGCTCCAGATGGACAAGACCTCATCTCTCCCACCACCACTCCACCCTCTTCCTTCCAGCCCTCTCCCCAAGAAAGTGAAGAGTTTTGCCTACCTGGCAATATACTTCTGGTAAATATTTACGTCTTCGCTGACAGCTGGTTTGTCAGTGGGTAATCCATTCCTAATGAGAAACACACAGGGCAGAGCCGGTTAGCAGGCAGCAACAGGGCACAGTCTAAGCTCCTTGTTTCTCTCACACACCACTGACACATCAGAGGAGAGAACTCGGCAAGGACACCCATAGGTTTAACCTCCCTCCCCCTTACTCTTCAAATCCTGCACCTTCTTTTCCTAGGGACCCATACAGTCCACCTACCGCCCCTCCTGCATGCTCCCTCTTTGCAGAACTCGGTTCAGTTTGCTGGAGACACTGAGAAGACCAACCGTGAAAACCTCTTTTCACAGAAAAAAACCTAAATGCTCACACACAAACAAGTGATGGCCACATGAAAACAAACACCTCCCTACAGAACCTTACAACACTGCCCTTACGTGCACGGAAGGGCCATTGAGACAGGTCTGCCCTAGGCTCAACTGTGGGAGCAGAGTCGCTGTGCTTCGGGCACGCTGGGAGCTACTGCGCATTGCCCATGGCTGGCAGGCACCGCGCATGCCTACCCGGTCCTGGCAACATGGCTACAGCCTCCTCCGTGGGGCTTTAATTGCCTCTTTTTCCACACAGATACCCCAACTCCAACAGACAGGCAGGGCAGCAAAGCTATTTACGTATTTTAATCAATGAGAAAACCAACCCAACTGCACCCAACTGTCACATAAGCCTGGGTTACTTAACATTATTAGGAAGCAGACAAAAATCACATCCTCAGTGAGTTCAGCAAGAGGAAAAAGAGATACAGGGCCAGACTCCAGCCTACCAAGTGATGGTCACATATCAACGCAATCCCAGACAGGCTGTACGCTGCCTTTCTGCTCGGTTTTGCCCACACTCAACCTCCACTCCTACTCGTAACAGCTCTGTAGCCTGGTTTAAACAAGGATACTTTCACACAGAATTCACTTGAAGGAGGTAGATTAGTTCAGGGCAGGTTAATAGCATTAGACGTTAGAGAGTTTAAACCCACGGCTAGGGTATATGTGCACATGTGTGAGAGTTAGGGGTAATTCCTGCCAGGCTATTTGGTCCCAGTGGGGACTGTGAATGGAAAGGCAGGTCCCAGAAACCACAGTTAGCACTTCCTCCACCAGCATAATTAATGGGCTGCTTTCGTTTATCATGAAAGCCTGTATCTAGTAAGCAGTCTGCAGGAGAAGAGACCAGAGCCCCTTCTGTACTCCAGTGTGTGATCAGGACACTGGGAGGTGCCCAGCTGAAGGACACCTCCACTCCTGTTGCAGCCGCATCATGACGAGGAGTTGAGGAAGTCCTGTGGCTAGAGGAGGGATCACCATGGTGCTGCAAACCCACATCTGCAAGTGGCAGGAAATGAGCAAGAGAAGGAAACCAAACTGGGATCCCAGTGCAATAGCAAAGCAGGTAAGAAGAGGCTCACAGCCCCCCAAGCACAGCTCTAGGACAGGAACTGAACTCCAGGCAGCTGAGTGCTCCGCACTCTTCCAGCACAGAGTCCCTGGTCAAGTCACGCATCACAACAAGGCACTGTGCCTTACAACACGGTGTTTTTCAGTAACAGGAGTCCCTGCCTGCCGTCTGGAGCACATACAGGGTTCATCCTGAGCAGGGGCCAGATGCAAACGTTAATAATACTTTGCCCTTTCCCATACACCTTAACCATAGAGCTCCCAAATCTGTCATTAGGCAGTTGGGAGATGACTGTTTTGCGTGGCAGACAAGTATCATTCATGCTGCCTTCCAGGTGCAGAAACATGGAAAGTGGGGGATGCAGACTTGCCTGAGACTGCAAAGACCATTCGAGTGAGGATGCAGCCCAAGGCCTCCTAGATCCACATATTAAACATAAAACAGCCTTCCTCCTTAGCAGAGGGCAAAGCAGTAGGGTGCATGTGATGGCATTTGTCACAGAAGTGCAGGCCAGAAGTCCCAGACCTATCGCAAATGACCCTATGGGATTCAAGACTCACAACAGCCCCAAGTCCACAGTGAGAAACAAGTAAATCCAAACCATGACAAGCAAGCAGAGAAGCCCCTCCCTTCCTCCCTGTTTGCAGCCTCATGTACATCTGTAGCTTTTCTACAGCTGCCACCTCTGGAAGCCACATTAAAAAGTAATCCAAGGTTTGGCAAGGCCTTCAGGTATCTCCATTCAGTCAATGGCATCATTGCAGAGATTGCCAGCAATGTATGTGTAGGAGGTTATTAGTGGTAATTGGGCTAATGAGTTTGCCCAGTCTGAGGGGTAATTGAATCGCCTCTATTTGTGTAAGGAACAAGCAAATTGAGAAGACACAGACCTGGCCCTACAGAAGTATGTATATGCCTAACTCCTACGAAAACTGATAGGAATTAGGCACCAAAATGTCTTCCAAGTTCTGGGACAAACAAGCCCCATCTTGCTAGCACTGAAGTCAGCAGAGTTTTGCCACTGAGTGAAATGGAAGCAAGAATCAGGGTCTCCTATAGACACAGCTGGACATCTGGGGAACCGAAAGTAGAAGAAAGTAAAATAGCTACAACCTTGACCTTAGAGTGCTGACAGCACCATGTCCCCTCATCTTTCATTTTGACACGCAAACCCAGGAGCTAGCAGGCTCTAGATTCATGACTGTGACTGCTGATGGCAGGCCACATCCTCAGTGCAAGTAAGATATAGATGTAAGGTGCAGCAGAGCAGCAGATACTCCAACAGTGGGCAAAAAGAAACACCACATGAACAGTGCAGTATTCATCCTCATGCAAACTGGAACTGCCCACCAATCTACACACAGACTTCAGGCATGATCCCCCACTAATACAAAGATAAGAGAAGTGGGAGGACACTTACTTTACTGTAGAGACTGTTCCAGTTGTGATGGAGTCTGTCTTGGAGAAAGTTGATTTCAGGTACTCAGGAGTGTTGAATGGCAATGAGACGGACTGCTCTGGCCCAGCTACAGGAGTGCTGCTGGGGGTACTGGCGACGGGAGCAGGGGCCAGGCTGGGTACCGGAGCTTTTACTGGAGTAAGCTTCTGAATGTTCCTCACATCATACTTGGAAGGCCGGCCTACTTTGCCTGTCTTGAAGGCAATGGCTCCTCCCATATCTGGGCTTCCTTCTCCAGGCTTGAAAAGGTGCAAGTACTTGACGTTTTCTAGGTCATACTTGGATGCCTTCTTGTAGGTGTTGCCATTTTGTGGCCTGATGCTCTCACCTGTCTTCAGCTTCTGAATGAAGAAGTCATATTTGGAGGCCCGTGACATCAGGCCCTGCATCTGGGAACTGCTGGGAGAGGGCAGCGGCAGGATGGTGGCTTTGGTCTCCGTCAGCATGGAGGCATCCGGACCTGGCACCCGAATGGGCTGTGCCAGCACTGAGGAAGTTTCTTTGCCCAGCTTGGAGCCCAACTCCTCAGATTTGGCCAAGTGCATGGGCCAAGAGAGCTGCTCTCCAGCTTTCAGTTTGCGGATGTACTCCTCATACTTGGAGAAGCGGGCTCGTTTGCTCATGGCATCTTCGCCAAGGAGAGAGGCTGCACTCGCAGTGGCCTCTGAGGTAGCAGCGTTCAGCTTGTCAAAGCTGATCTTGCGGGCCAGCTCATCCCGCATGTTCTGATCATCATAGCCGAACATGCCCAGGAACTCATTCATGGTGGTTGCGGCATAATCTCGCAGCGATGAAGCTTCCCCTACAGAGAACCAAAGTGAGAGAGTCATGCAAGGCGTTGATTTTTCTTCTCCTCCCATATCAGCACTAGTAGCGGGGAGGGGGAGTAAGGGGAGGGGGGAACATGATCTACTGACGTTTGGCTCACTTGTTAGGTTTTACGACTCTTAAATTAATTTGTTTTAAAAAAAAAGTAATTAATACTGGGGTAAAATAAAAAGAGTTCATCAATGCCAGGAAAATCAATTTCCTAAATGTTCTAGCCGATGGCTTTTCAGTACATTAAACAAAGTTTCATAAATGTCTCTGCACTCTTGCCTTGGCCTAATATGAAGAAAAAGTAATTTTACTGGAAGTGAGACCAACGCCAATATGCCGAGGTTTGTACAGTTCTGTCCCTGTGTGTGTTTGTATATGGAAGGAGGTGCACAGAGGACGGATGCAGTGCGTCTGCGTGGGTAAGGGGGGGTAGAAACATGTGAGATAAGCCATGTGTGCTGGTGAGCAGCGGGACCGAGAGTAGGCAGGACAGCATGGTGTGAAACGGGTAAGGGAGACAGGGCGAGACAACATATGGGGAGGAGCAGGAGGGGGGTAGAATGGAAAAGTGCAGAGAAGGAAAGCAGCAGAGGTGGGGGTAAATTAAGGCGGGGGAAGAGCAGCAAAGACTATACGCACGAGAAGCTTGGCAGTGAGGAGTGGTGGGGGAAGGAGTGGAGAAGAGAAGGCAAAGACAGGATAGCTCCCCACAGCTGTTGCAGTCCCTCCCTTCCCTGACAATTTTGTAAGAGTTCTTTTCACCCAACTTACTCCCTTCCTTCTCAATCCCAGTGATACTACTCCCCCGTGGAAAAGGGCCCACGGTTCAGCGGGGGCTGTGGGAACCTACAGGCTGCATCCTGAGCAGCCAGGAACAGCTTCCACTAAGACCAGGAACAGGAAAAGTCCATGCAGGTGCAAAATGGGTAAAGAACAGCCAGTGGGATTTGGACTGAGGACAGAAAGAGCTGTTGTCCTGATGTGCGCTCCAGAGAAGGGGAGAAAGCCTGCTCTCCAGCGCATGGTCTGGGGAAGCGGCAGGAAGAGGGTAGTCTACCTGAATGTGGTCACAGGGAGGAAGCACTAACAAAAGCTGTCCTTCCTCGGGTCTCTCCCCTCCTCCATTCCCTACTCCCTCAGGCAGTTTCACAGGCCACCAGGAGGGGAACAACACACATCTGGAGGTCACCCAATATCAGTGTAAAGGAGGAAATAAAGATTGCTCTGACGTGCCAGCTTGGGCTCCTTTAGGCTTCAGCCTGACACAGCACTCCTCCTCCTCTCCCTCTTGCTTTCTCCTGCAGAGTAAAGATTTACTGTGTGCAGGAGTCCTTCAAACCTCCCTCATCATCTTTTCCAATCACTCTAGCTCTCATGGGCAAGCACACTCGTCCGCAGGGAGCCAGCACAGGCCAGTACACTGGCAGCAGCATGGAAGTTCTAGGTACTGAGTCCAGCTCAAACCAAATCAGCACTGCTTTGAAACACAGTGGAAAAGGAAGGCACCAAGCCATAGCCACAGGTCCATAGCCAATGGACCACATCTGACAGCCAGTGATGCCATACACACAGGCACGCATGTACACAAGAGCACTGCTGCGCACACAAGACCCAGTCAATGAGCAAAGTTAAAGTTCAACAGCCATCAGCTTCCACCAGTTTCCACAGGACTATACGGAGGAAGAGACTGCCTGCAACGGGCACTAAAATGTGCAAGACCGTGAGGGTCATATTCCTGTTTCAGCATTGCCTGGTATCGCTGTGTTCATGTAGCAGAAGTGCTGCTGCACTAGTTGCCTGTGTACGCAGGATGTGAGAAAGTCAATGCAAAGAACATGCCTGAAGCCTGCAAGCAGAGGGACAAAGACACGTCTGCTAAGTGCTGGGATCTGGGTTAGCCCCAAATGACTTTCCAGTTCTGGGCACTTAGACTCAGCACCCTGACTTCATTCTGACTTCCGAATAAACACCCTGTTAGTTATAGAACGGGTGGCAATGCCCCTGCAGTGTCTGGTTTAGGTTGTAGCTTTTTGTCCTCGCACAACCTCATGGGTCAGTATTACTCTTAAAGGATGGTAAATGCAGAATCATGCCCCACAATGTCCAATAACAAGACTTGTCAGAAGGAAAGCACAAGGAAAGGCTGTATTACTCCATCCGCAGAGGTAAGATGGTTTAATCTCTGCTTCCCCACTTGGCCCTCTACAGTGGCCCCTCCAACACCCTACCAAAGCCACCAACTTTATCTTTCACATGCAGACACATTAAATAATTTCATCTTTCTTTAAAGCAGTTCTCCTTTTCACCTCTTTTTCTCTCTTCTCTACCTCCATTTCAGTGTAACCCTATGACCCAACAAAAGTGATTAAACCCATGAAATCCCTACTGGGTCTAACACTTCCGTCTTTCTGTTAAATCTCCTTTCCCTGTTCCGTTTTTCCTCTCTTTTTGGACCTGTAAAACAATCCTGAGCCTCCTTCACAACACCCTGACTTCCAAGGACTGCACAGAAAAACTCTAGCCAGCCCATGTCAAACTGCATGGGGAGAAAGAATACCACAGAGAGGATCTGATTGGAAATTAAACTATTAAGTGTGATTTTTACTAGCTTTAGCAGCTGCCCTGAAAGGCACCCAACCCCTTTACTTCTTTATCCTAACCTGCAGCACACGAGAAAAGAGGGGAGACCCTCTTTTTCAATCCCACATCTCAAATCCGTTTTACAAATCCCAGCTTGGTTCAGGCCCCACAGACATTACAAATCCAGAGAGGAGATTCAAGGAAACCTAGTATTTTCTTGTAATCCTGGAGAAAATGAAATGGTGTAGGAGACTGGCTCCTTTTTGAACTTCTCTCATCTGCAGGCCTGGTCTTGCAAAGCATCTTTGGTACCCATGTGGCTAGACCTCAACTGGTGCAAACAATTAGATGCAAAACCCAAGACCATAGAAGAAGGGGAGTTTTCAGACCTTTTTTTGAGCTTTGCAAAGTCTGACCTTGAGTTCAGGTTTCACTACCCTGGATTTAATCCTCTCATCTCCCAGAACACTTTGCATTCTGCTTTTCCTTTGCTCAGATTTGGTTCCAGATGACTGCAATACCTTTCCTGACCAACAACTTTGCCAGTGCTGCTGTCTCTCTTCATCCACCTTCGAGATGAAACCCTGGCCAATTCCCACTACTCACTGCCTAGCAAGCACAGCTTCCCTCATCCCTGCATGAGCCCACCAATACATCCCCTAAAGCCGAGACAACCTTCACTTCTTTGCACAGGCACCTAACCAGAAGGCTAGAGGCTCTTCAAATGGAGGCACCTTATGGAAGGGAGCCATCTCGCCACAAAGATGGTACGAGACCCAGCCAACTCATTGCACATACACGTTCAAACAGCAGTGAAGAGGTAATTATTATTACCTAATTGACAGAAATCCCTCCCCATAACCACACGCAGACAAAAGTGAAGCAGGACAGCAGTTGGGAAATAAACGCCCGTGAAAAGAGCACAGCCCTGAAGGCACAGGAAGCATTGTCCCTGGGTCTTCTTCCCCCTCCCCTGCACCGCATTTTTCTCTCCTTTTCTATGTGATAATAAAAGGGCTCCCTCTCCCCTTGCCGCTGCTCTCCATTTGTGGGCATTGCCATAGAGCAGAGATCTGTGTGTCTCAGAGCAGCTATCGTATCACAAAGGATCCGAAGCTAGCAAAAAGGGGCTAAAAATAGCCTGCAGCAGCACACTATATATGGAAGGAAAAGCAAAACAGCCCAAAAGGAGTGCAAGGTCTGGATACTGGGGGATGGGACATCCCAGCCAGGGCTCTGTCCTTTATTCTTCTTGGGAAGGAAAACATGTAGACTTGGGCACTATAGGATGAGCAAGAAACTGGCACTCATCATGCATGTTCTCCCGAGCAGAGTCTCCCCAGGAAATTACGAAGAGAAACCCCCCTTGCTGAAAGCAGGGCCAGTATTCCCTTTCTAAGAGACTTAGCCAAGAGGCTAAGAAAAGAAGGAACTTTGCAAGCTTGTACAGAGGAAAGCTCCTGGTGGCTACTACAGCGCACTATGAAAGTAACAGGCAGAGCAAAGACCATGGGACTGTATAGGAAAATCTCCCTGGGTGTGTGTGCATGAGTGAGAGATTGTGGAAAGGGATCTCTGTCAGAGACTGTACTGGGAAATCTAAACGCTATATATAAATGTGTGTAGAGAACTATGGGTCAGTTGGTGTGCAGAAGCGGGTGTGTGAACAAATGAAGAAACCTATCTGCCTGTCCAGACCAGCTTCTGATGCCCGCCTCCCGACAAACACGAGCTTTGCAACTTGTGAACTTGTTACCTAGCTGTACCAGAGAGGGAGGCACATAAGGCAAAACTGAGCACCGACTCATCAGCCCCTTGTTTTCTGAGGGTGCCTCAGAAAAAGAAACAGGGATGCCACACATGCATGTTCACCATCTTGTTTCAAAGCATGAGGACTGAATAGCATGGACCAAGTCTCCGCAAACTCCTGCCTGATGCACAAGCCCAGCCATCTGACCCTGGAAGGAGACAAAGGTGGCCAGGATTTGGCATTAGACTACAGCAGGTGCTAGCGGAGGACACGAGCAGCAGCCGAAGTTCCGTAAAGCAGGCTCTGTGTATAGACAACGGGACTCCAAGAACCAGGAACCCTCCTCAGCCCATATAATTACGATCACTTTCCTCCCTGATCAAGAAAGCCCAGCTAGATGTAGGATCTGGCTTTCTGTGTGGCTCCTGCTTTTTATCCAGGTTTCCAGCTGATCAAGGAGGTACGAGCTCAATTTTAAACGCTGCTGAGCACTGCCAGCTTGGTATCCTCCATGTCCTCAGAGGGAGAAACGGGTGCTCAGAACCTTCAAAACCACGTTCCTGTGATGACTCCCCCACAGCCGCAATGACCAGCTGTATTCCTCTCCTTTGATCTGCCTGCCTCCTGTGACCCCCCAGCTCACAGGAAAAACACCTTTTTGGTATAGGCAGTTCCAGATCTCACTGGAATAAACTTAACTCGGTGATGAACCATTAAATCTATTTTCTGGAACACTGACAGAAGAAGACAGAAGAGGAAAAGAACTTTGTCCTTTCCAAAGCAAGATATGTTTCAGTTTGTGCTTTCCAGGGAAACACTGCAAATGACATTTACAACACGGATTTTGAAACAGACGCTCCAAAGCCAGCAGCACGTTGGTTTGCAAGTCAAATCCCATGTGGCTGTATATGTAAACTGGACCCTGCATGTGCCATTACCTATCTTCAACATAAATGAGTGTTCAGCCCCCCATGAATGCTTATGCATTTTTGCATAATGCTTTGACAATACAGCCCTACAAAGGCATTTTACTGACAACTTCTACCCCAGTGAGAAACCTCAGTTCCTCTTCATTTTCCCCAGCTTAGTAACATATTTTTCACACTTAAGTTCCCCTCCTTTTAGTTTCTGTAGCAAATAAAAGCTGCAAATGGGGGTAGTGGAGTGGGAATTAAAACAAACTAAAAATGGAGTCCAGGCACAATCACCTTGTGTCTGGGAACGACAAGGGCTTTCCTATCAAAGGAAACTGAAGGTCACACTTTTCCTCATTGATCTTGCAATGTTTGTTAATTACTCTGTCACTGATGTGGCGAAGGATAATTAAACAGCTCTGTTTATATCTTATATGCATAATTATGTGCGCTGCCACTGAACTCGTGAAGACTAGAGAATGTGCCTCTCCAGAAGGGGAACGGACAGACGGAGATGAGTTTCGGCTGCATTATTAACAGGAGGAGGAAAACACGCGCACACACAAAAGGAGGAAAGTTTGATGGATTCACAAAGTGCTGAGATCAGGGGAGGGGTGCGTGCAGGTGGAGCAGATTAGGGGGAGATCTTTCAATTACAGATCCAGCCCAGCTGAGTGACAAATCGGGGAAGGGAGCTGCTCTGCCCTAATGGAGAGAATTCAATTTACCCATAGCTTTTAACAAGGCTTAGCACTCATAAGCCCAACAAAATCAGTCTGGGAAAAATCTGGGTATCAGGACTGAGAAAGAAATTCAGCTGGAGCTTCCTCCAGCATCTCTTGCTGAATTCATCTTTTGAAATAAACACAAAAATGAGGCAGAAGCTATCTGAAAATAAGCAATGCACACACAGCCACGGGGAAAACACCTCGCAACAGCCCGCAAGTCAGCACCCCAGACCGAAGCGGTGGGGGACGTTGGGGGGGTTGGACTAGATGACCCACAGAGGTCCCTTCCAACCCCTACCATTCTGTGATTCTGTGGGACATCCAAG